TTTCTATTTGCAAATTTTCCTTTAAAATGAAAAATAATAATTAGTAAAATAGAAAGTCTCAATTTCAAACTGTATCTTATATGTCAGAAAAACAGCTCACAGATTATATTGAAGAATCTGAACTGTACTCCCAAACTATAGATTAGCTAGAAATGTTTGGCAAATTTTATGTCACAATACTCAGAACAATATAACTATCATATTGGCTTCCTAGTCCCTTTGCCTTTATGCTTTATAATTTCAAGTCCCACTTGAAATTAAGAGCCAGAGATAAGAATAGCAAATAACACTGCAATAGTCAGTCTCTTTATTATGAAAAAGCTTTAACATATAGAAAGCATAGCAAAGTGAGTCAACTTACTCCCAGCTTTAACAGTTGTCAAGATTTTGCTACTCATTTCAGCTATTTCCCTTACTGACACATTTTTTTCCTATGCTTTTAAAAAATAAATTCTATTGATTGTTATTTTAACTGTAAATACTTCTGTATATTTCTCTGATAAGCTTTTCTCCAACATACCCACCATGTTGTTATCATCTGCTTTTTTTTATTATTCTTATATTAGTCATAATTTATTACTATCATGAAATTCTCTATATTCATATTTTTCCAGTTGTCTCAAAATCATCTTTTTATGATTTTGTTAGAATAATTTGTTATTCTAACCAATTTGTTTGTTAGGGTAATTTGTTAGAATCAGGACCCAAACAAAATCCATATTACATTTGGTTGTTATGTTACATTTTAAAATGTAAATATTAGAAATTCCTAATGCCAAAAAAAAAGACTGCAATTTTGGATGACATTTTTGTTTTCTTCTTATAAAATTATATAAGTTCATTGTATGAAAAGATAAAAATTCATAAAATACTAAGAAGAAAGTGGAAATCACTTATATTGCTCAGAGTATATTTCCTTCCTATCATTTTTTACATTATTTTCATAGTTGAGATCTATTGGAAGCCGTTTTATATCTTATTTCAAAGTATATCTGAAGCTTTCTATACTTAAAATTTTTTTTCCCCATTTTAATGGCTGCATTAAGTTGTACCTTAATTTTTTAGAACAGGTAAGTACCTTAATTTTTTTTAGGGGCCATATCTAATTTAGAATGCCATTTTACAGTGTACTCCAACACATTTTCTTGTTGCTACGGTTGAAGAGACTCGTATTTTTGAGTAAGGGGTCTAATTTTCCTCATTAATTCCTAGAGTAGGTGAAATGGGCTGGTTGATGCACTGTTTTCTCTATATGTAGCAGATAATGCCTGGATCTTGGTCCATTGGCCATTTGAGAGAGATGTTTGTTTTGCCCTGTGGAGGACAAGTAATGCCCCTAGTGGGCCATTTTAGTAAGTTTATAAAAAGTCCAATTTTATATAATTTCTTTAAAATATCATTGAATATATCTGAGTATATGATGCATTAATTTCTCCAAACATTATCAAGGGAAAGAAAGGTATTAAATTCAACTATTGGCAGGACTTTGGGCATCAGGGAAAGTTTGGAAAAGGTTGCACCTACCTTAGCTGCTATAGGTTGAAGTCATCAAAGAACTCCAAAAGATCAAAGTAGACTTGAAATAGACATAAGTTATGCAAAAATAGTGATTCTTAGGTGTGTACTTTTATGAATATATCCATTTCGTAGGGGTGTTATAACAAATCACCACTAAGTGTGTGGCTTAATATAACATATTTATTATTTCACAGTTCTGGAGGCTAGATGTTTTTAAAATCAAGGTGTCAGGCAGGGCCATGCTCTCTCTGAAAGTTTCTGGGAAGAATCCATCCTTGCCTTTTCCTGGCTTCTGGCAGTTCCCAGCAGTCCTTGGCGGTTTTGGCTTCTCTTCTCTGTCTTCACATGGCATTATTCCCTGGGTGGATCTCTTCCTTAATTCTGTGTCTCTTCTTATAAGGACATCAGTGATTGGATATAGGACCTACCCTAATCCAGTATGACCTCATTTTACCTAATTATATCTGCAAAGACTGTATTTCCAAGTAAGGTCACAATCTGAGGTTCCTGGTGGATGTAAATATTGTGAGGACACTGTTCAGCCCAGTATAGCAGGTGTGGGTATTTGTGTATATGAGTAGATTGGGAACTGGGGGGCTATCGTAAGTTCTTAGATAATACACATTATAATTCTCTTCTCCATTGTTGATTTCTACTTTTTCTTAAGTGTATTTAGTATAAGAATACATGAATGTGGGGGAAATGTTGAAAACAGTACTAAAACAGTAATTTAAAATTCTGTGTTGAATAATTATTCTCTGCTGCTGTTCCTTGAGATTAAAAGATAAAAACAATTCCATGAATTCTTGTCTATTTATGGTTTCAGAATCCTAAATTTATAACCAGGATCCAAAGTTTCTTATTTACTAAAAGCATTTGAGCAGAGCGTTATAATGATTATTCCAGTCCTTCTAAAAAAATAATTTGGCTTAGGCAAAAGTTTATGAAATACTTGAATAATTTACTAAAAATTCTAGACTATCTTTCACTGAGTTTATTAAAAAATAGGTTGAAATTAGACTGTTCTTCCATATCCATCCACCATTATCACCACCCCCAAGATGACACCAAGAAGTTAGCTAATATATGTCCCCATAAACCCATATCTTTAGATTGTTTTATTAATTTTGATGCAAGTACATATTTGCAGAAATTGATTTTTGTAGGGATTTATAATAAAATATCAGTTAAAAGATTAATTGCCTCACTTCTGGGCCTTTTGTTTCTGTAGTAATCAGTATAGTAAAATTTTTATTTAAAAAATTCACTTGAAGTTTTCCATTTATACTCTGTAAAAGCAAAGTGAATGCCTATTGTTATCCATAAATATCTTAACTGCTAAGATTTTCTAAGATTGTAATAGAAAACCAATTATATCAGAAAGTCATTAAGTAACTGTTAGAGAAATTTAACAATGTTAATAAAATATGAATTTATGACTTTTGGCTTATTTTCTTAGATAAAGCTCTCGGTCATTTTGCACTTTTTAAATTAGAAGAAAAATTTTAAACTTTATCCATGCCTTCTCTTTTACAAATCAAAACATCTTATAGCTCTCATCTGCTTATTATTCTTATAAATTTATAATGGGCATATATGATTATGAGATAAAATAAGGTACATCATATCTTACTATCAGAAACTAACTTTTTAAACCAAAGTTAGAGATTTAGAATGGAACTCAAGGCAGTGTAAATATGTAACTTATTTTTCTAAAAGGTCTCTTGTAGCCTTCTGTTTAGAGCTTCTTTTGGGTCTTAAACTAGAATGTTCCATGTTTACTCATTCACTAAACTAATTATTTAGGTGTAGTATGTGGTGTTATACATGCACTGTGCAAAGCACTGAGCTGGAGTGGGTAAATCTGCAAATATATATGTTTATATTTCTCCATTCATTCGATAAATATTTATTGAGTATTTGCTGTATGCAAGGTACAATATCAGGAACTTCTTGATACAAAGTTAAACAAAACAGACACAGTCTTTGTACTACTTACAGTCTTAGAAAAGGAGAAAGACATTAATCAGATAATAATACAAATAAATATAAACTTATCACCATGAAAAATACTATGAAGAAAAGGTGAATGGTACTATCAGAGCTCATAAGGGAATTTGACTTAGTCTTTGGAGGGGCTATGCAAGGGCTCAAAGACTTACCTGAGGAAATGACTTTTGAACTGAGAGCCAGATGATTATTGGAAATTATGTAAGTGAAGGAGGATGTGAGAAAATTCCAGGAAGCAGAAATTATATATAATAGTGAGTAGTGCGAGTTATTTGAAATGAAAGGAGGCAGTGCAGCTGGAACACAGGGAACCAGACGGAGTGTGATGCACGATGCAGTAGGAGAGCCAGCGGCAGGGGCCAGACCAATTTCCCTATACTGGTCTGGCCAGTAGTACATACTCAATTTTATTTATATATAGTCACCAAATTCCATATTTTATTTTGGTTTCACCAACATAAGCCATTCAGGTACTTTATTTCTGGTTTCTTATTACTATGTAAAGTTCTTGAATTACTTGCTTTATCTACAAGATAATAGAATATCTTATAGCAGCCGTAAATATTCAAAACCAATGATACTGCTGTAGAAAAACCATATCTTATGTTTACCATTAAACACTGATTCTACCTGAACCAAATAGCACATTTAGAATTCATATGTTGATTAGCAATATCACGTACAGCAGTTTCACTTGTTGATCTTAGAGTGCTAAGTTGACTAGCTTTCATCATATAAATAAGGTTGAAACTGGTATATTATAGTGCCCAAAAAGCCGAATATTTTATATATAATATACTGGTATAAATGAATTTAAATTTATGTGGTGACAAGCATTAACTTCCTCCTGATGTTCTGATGTTTTAAAATATTTAAATAAATGTTTAAAAATTAATATGAAGAATGATAAAATTATGCCTACTTCATGTGTAGTTTGTGTGATCTGTTTTAATATTTTATAGTTTGTGGCTTCTGTGTCATCAGAAGTTTAAAAAGATTCTTAAGATGTAGTCGGATTGCATCTTCGTTTCAAAATTCACTGAAACGATATGTAATGCTTACGTAAGAGCAGCTAATTATGTAGTGATGAGATTTTAGCCCTTTTAAAACCTGTAATCCTGTATAATTTCACCCTTATTCAAAAAGAATTTGATGTAAATAGTTTCAACACTGTGTAATATTCATGAATTATTGATTTACAGTGAACATTTACATTGTACTAGTGAACTCATGTAAGCATTTCTAACCTATGGGATATTTGTTTTGCAGGAGAAAATAGAAATTCTGTATTCACAACTTGAAATGCAATTTCCCATTAATATTAATTCTTTCATCGATTGTTACCACAAAATTGGCTAAAATTAATACTCTTCTGTCATAATAGATCAAGGTGATTTACATTTAGTTTTCTTTGTCTTTTTTGTTTGTTTTGTTTTATTCCCTCCACTCCCATTTATTTCATGGCATATCAGTGCTTCAGAGAATTTAGATGAGCTCTCTTCCTCCAGTAGCTGGTTACTTAACCAGAAGCACAGTAAGAAAAGGAGAAAAGACAGGACAAGATTGAAATCTCCATCCTTGACTATCATGAGTACAGCAGCTCGAACAAGGCCACTTCAGAGTTTCCACAAACGAAAGCTCTACAGATTGAGCCCTACTTTTTATTGGACTCCGCAGGTAAGGTCGCCTTTGGGAAAACATGAACAAAGATTTTACTGTCAATATATTTCACAAGTTAGAGGATATGAACTGTACACAGTTGTTTAGAATAAGTGGGATTTAATAATTTTTAAACATAGCAGTGTATTCTGAAACTTCTCACATTTCCATTTTTTTAAATCACTATTATGCTTAAACTAGTTTGAAAGAAATAGAAATGTACATATCAAGTTGATTTTAAAATTTTACTGGTAAGGGTGACAAGGAAAACACAAGTGTATTATATATTTGCCTTTTGCTTGATAAAGAAAAAAGTAACAATCTGCAGGGCTGTCAGTTATTTTGGAGGAAATGACATTGCTCTCCCTTTTATGTTTGGTATTTGTTAAACCTGGTGAGCACTCCTTTTTCATATAAGCAATGAAGTTTTAGATGACCATGCTTACCGTTTTTGCAAATAAAATATGCTTCATTAAAAGCGTTTATTTTGAAAAGCATATTTTTCATTTGTTAGCAACATGTTAGGTTTGCATCTTTCAGTGCATATCTAAATAAGCTGTGACGGAGGGCAAAATTATCTCTAGTTCTCATGGTATAATGTGATTTTTATCTATTATATTTTTTATATGCCAATATTAAATATTGTGGGAATGAATAATAATGGTGATGACTTGGGAAAATCTGGGAAATGTTTGATCAAGTTTATTTATTTATTTTTGCCTTATTTTACAATATATATATATTTTTTAACATCTTTATTGGAGTATAATTGCTTTACAATGGTGTTAGTTTCTGCTTTATAACAAAGTGAATCAGTTATACATATACATATGTTCCCATATCTCTTCCCTCTTGCGTCTCCCTCCCTCCCACCCTCCCTATCCCACCCCTCTAGGTGGTCACAAACCACCTAGCTGATCTCACTGTGCTATGTGGCTACTTCCCACTAGCTATCTATTTTAAATAATATGTCAAAGGAAAGAAATTATCCTTGATTTAATATTGTTTTTGATTATTACTACATTAACTATTTTTAAATATATTTCTATAAAAAATCAAGGTGCTTTGTTTCATTAGGAACCAATTTCAAATTTGGTTTTATAGGATCCTTTTATAAATAGGAACGTGAATTCTGACAAATTAATTTTTATTAATAGATTGATTTTTGCCATTTAGTAGTTCAGGTATTAGTAGTATGCTTTCCCAACTTGAAATTTTTAAGAAAGTTTTATTTCAGAATTTTAAGAAATTTTACATATTTAATTAACCTAATAGGAAAATATTTTATTTAAAGTTTTTATAAGAAATTATATTTTATTTAAGAATTTTTATTTAAAGTTACTACAAGCAATAGAGAAATAATATATTTGAAAATGATTTCATAATTTCATACTTATAAATAGAATTGTCTATCAAAAATATCTCACATGAATATGCCTTAATATTCTGACTGGAAGGAATCTATCTGAATAATTTAGGGGATTTGCTCAATATTACTATAATACTGCATATGCCTTGATAATATAAAGATTGGCCTGGAAAAGTGTGAACAAATTTAAACCTTTCAGCAAACAAAGGAAGAAACAAGTCTAACATTGTTACTAGTAGACCATATAATTTACCATATTCCAGTCATAATGCTAAGCATTTTCAGTACATTATTTTATTTAGTCCTCAAACATAAAGCTATGAGGCATTATCAATCCCACATTTAGATGCAGAAATTGAGGTTTAGGGAGATTAAGTAACTTTTCCAAGGTCATACAGCTAGTAAACAATAAGTCTGATTCCGAAGCCATGTTCCTATCCATTAGTACATTGATAACAACAAAAATAAACCAAATCTTTTTTTAATCAATATTTTTTATTGAAGTTGATCTACAGTATTGTGTTAATTTCTGCTGTACAGCAAAGTGATTCAGTTTTATGTATATATATATATATATATATATATATATATGCATTCTTTTTTTAATATTCTTTTCCATTATGGTTGTCATAGGATATTAAATATAGTTCTCTGTGCTATATACTAGGACCTTGTTGTTTATCCGTTCTCTGTATAAAAGCTTACATCTTCTAACCCCAACCTCCCACTCCATCCCTGCCCCAACCCCCTCCCCCTTGGCAACCAACCAACAGTCTGTTCTCTATGTCCATGATTCCATTTCTGTTTTCATGGATAGGTTCATCTGTGTCATATTTTAGATTCCACATATAAGTGATATCATATGGTATTTGTCTTTCTGTTTCTGACTTACTTCACTTAGTATGATTATCTCTAGTTGCATCCATGTTGCTGAAAATGGCATTATTTCATTCTTTTTTATGTATGAGTAGTATTCCATTGTATATATATATATGTACCACATCTTCTTTATCCATTCATCTGTTGACAGATATTTAGGTTGTTTCCGTGTCTTGGCTATTGTGAATAGTGCTGCTGTGAACACAAGGGTGCATGTATCTTTTTGAATTATAGTTTTGTCTGGATATATGCCCATGAGTGGGATTGCTGGATCATATGCTAATTCTATTTTTAGTTTTCTGAGGAATCTCCATACTGTTTTCCACAGTGGCTAAACCAAATCTTTTATGTGCTTGAAATCAGTAAAGACTGTATATTTGGGAATTGGAGAAGGGGCTTTATCTGGTTAGAGGCATTTAGAAATGCACCATAAAAGATGGGTTTTTAACGATAAACAGAATATTGAAAGGGTTTAGGGGGAGATTTAAAAAAGCACTTTAGTCATTGTAACAGAGGTGGGAAAAATGATGGAGAACAGCAAATGGCCCCACCCCCAACTTATCCCCCAAATTTCCAGGGTAATAATTATTTACCTTTCTAAATTTAATAAATGTCATTTCTCTCAGGAAGCCTTCCTTGATATTCCCACTCTGGGGTATATAATGATGTAGCACCCTGTGTTATAATAATAATTCATTATTTTATAATAATGTTCCATTTATTTTTCTGTCTTCTTATTACATTGTAAGTTTTTTGAGAACAGGAACTGTGTATTTCTGAACCTACAGGGCCTTGAACAGTAACTGTCCAATAGTATATGCTCAATAAATAATTAATATGTGAAAGAATTATTGTAGTGGAATGTAGAAAGATATTTAAAAGGCAATGGAGAGTGAGACTTTGTGTGTGTGTGTGTGTGTGTGTGTGTGTTTCCTTGATTTGCTTTGTGAAAGGGTCTAGAACAGTAATGTCTAATAGAACTTTCTGTAATGACGAAAATGCTCTATAAATATCTGTGCTGTCCAATATGGTAGCTACTAAGTACATGTAACTATTGACCACATGAAATGTGACTAGTGCAGCTGAGGAACTGAATTTTTATTTTTATTAATTTTGATTTAAATGGCCACATTTGGATAATGGCTACCAAATTGTATATGACAAGTCTAGACTCAAACTTACCATGATATCAGTGAGAACACGTGACACTCATTCTTGTTTTCTAATACTATTCCTTACTGAGAGGAAATATAGATCTTTGGAGAAGTGTCTGATCTCCAGGGTTGGGGAAGAGGGGCTATAAAATGGGCCTGGAATGTCTTATTGTTACCAGAAGGCAAGGAAGTGTTTAAAAAAATGATGGCATGTCAAAACAAAAAACAAAAATACCCAAGAGCTTGTTTGAAGAGGCTTCCACTGGCCAAATCTGGGGCTCTTTGAGCATTGAAATAGCTAAGGACAGTAATTAACCCAGTAAAAAGACAGGTAACCGTGAGTGTATCCTGATGAGAGAGAGAGAGAGAGAGAGAGAGAGAGATTAAAAGGGGAAAGGGAAGACTTTTGCATAGAGTAGGATACTGATTAACAAATGTGGAGTGAGCAGTCAAATTAGAGAATCATTGCAATAATCATAGTAAAGATTGGGTAAGAAGCATCAATGCATGAAAAGTCTGGATTGGGGAAAAGTTTGATGAGGAGCAGGATATTGATATTGTCTTAACTATATGGTAGAGAACCAGACAGTAACCTTGCCTGAGTGATCAAAACTAACGAAGCCTATGTCTGTTCAGAGAAGGGAACAGCCGAGAACAGTGACCTCCGGGTCCCAGGGTCCCTGTGGCACAGGCCATGCTGTGCAGGGGCTGGAGGAGAGGGCCCTAGTTGTGTGAGTTTGCCCTGGACTCAGCGGGAGGTAGTAGAGGTCAGCGTCAAACAGGCTGGGCTGGAGCAGCGGAAGGACAGGGGAGGAGCCAGCACTCCTGAGACCCACCAAGGCCCTGGATGACACTGATGTGAGAAACACAGCAACCAAAGACAGTGTGTGGACTTGGTTTGGGTCTTGATTTGAACAAGAACCCTGAAAAGACATTTTTGAGATCATTGGGAAAAATTGACCACAGCTGATGATTAAATGATGTTCAGGAATAATTGATAATTTTGTTGGTGTGATAATGATATTGTGGTTATGTGAGGAAAAGGCCTTACTTTTAAGAGATGCATTCAGTAGTGAAATGGGTAACATGACAATGTTAAGAATTTGCTTGAAAATATCAGAGCAAAGCAATGAAGTGAAGGAAAGAAAAGGAGAAGAGGATGGATGAAGTGAGAGCAGTAAAAGGTTAATTTGGAGAGGTAGGTACATAAGGGATCACTATATTATTCTCCCTGCTTTTGCGTATGTTTAAAAACTTGAACAATAAGAAAAATAAAAAAACTAATGTAGCCTATTAGAAGGATACAATACCACTATGTAGTATTCTGACCAGACATACATAACCTGAATTTAATCATGAGGAAACATCAGACAAAGCCAAAATCAGAAACATGCTATTAAGAAATGAAAACTGGCCTGTATACTTAAAAAAAAAAAAAAAAAAAGCCAATGTAATAAAAGCCAAGGAAGCCTGAGGAACTTCTTCAGATTGAAAGAGAGACTAAGATATATGACAACTGAATGAATATATGGTCCAGATCACAGTTCTTTTGGAGGGAAAATATGGGGACAATTGACAAAACTGGACTATTGATGCTAGATTATATTAAAATATTG